TGTATGTATATATATATGTATATATTTATAAAACGGTGGCTGAAACGATACCTTTTAGACGCAAAATTAATTTTAAAAAATATATTTTGAATTGCGTCCTTAAATTCGGAGCTCCTATATACCTTTTTCTTGGAACGCAAAATTACCCATTATGCTTTGCGTGTATGCGCAAGGAGAATGCGAAGAACTTGCGGTCGGCAGCTGATGCGTGTAAACAGTCACATTTGGACAGCTTTGAAACGATAGTTTTGATCTATTTCACCTGCTTTTATCCTCTCTGAACTAATCCTGTTGTCCATCAGCAGCATCTCCTGGACTGATCATTTACAGAAATGCAATCTAATAGGATGGAAAACAGCTGCTGTGAGGCGTTTTCCCCTCGTTGTCAGACGGCATCTTCTGCAGTTTAAATGAAGCCTCGTCATCGCTAAAGTCAACATTTTCTCTTTATTTTAAATATATAACCAGCCCAAACTAATGTAGTTCACCAAAATGTTTGACACACACACGTAGCCTGTACTGTGCCACTGACACACTGATTTAATAACCGTGACAAAGTGAAAATATAGACTAGTGTCATTTCCAAATGACAGAAAAACACAAACCGTGGTGAAAACAACACACGAAATAAAACACAAACGGCTCGCGATTAGAATGAACAGCAAATCAGCAGCAGAGGATCAATAACAGACTTTTATTGCTCATTTTTGCAAATTGCACGACTTTCATACCTGTTAAGTTTCATGCAGTACTCTGGTTTGCTCTCTCTCTCTCTCTCTCTCTCTCTCTCTTTCTCTGTGTGTGTGTGCGTGTGTTAAAGAGCCGCTGAGCTAACAGCTGACAGGCCGGTAACGCACACACACACTGTATTTCTGACGGCCGACACGTGAACTAGGAGAACGTTTTTCTCGTATTTCTGACGCGCTTGAACCACACGTGACAGATTATAACGGCTTTAACAGACACATTTCTAAGTTGTGTGTCACAAAAACACTCTGTTATCCATTAAAAACGTCATTGAAACCCATTTTCGGAGTGAAATTACCAGTTGTTCATGCTGTAAACGGAAGTTTTTAGCATTCTACCGGAAGACGCTGGTCGCTATGGCGCCCTCCATGCAGCAGCCATGAAAAAGGTCTATTGGTTCTTGGATTGACCCTCATCGCAGCTGTTGTCACACTGCAAGAAAGTGACTGAAATCTTCATCAGTGGCAACGAGCACTGCTGTGTCATGACCCTTTAAAGAATATCTAGTCAAATATTATTTACTGTCATCATGGCAAAGATTAAAAATGAGTTATTAGAAATGAGTTATTAAAGCTATTACGATTGGAAATGTTTTGGAAAAAATCTCTTCGTTAATCAGAAATTAGGGGGAAAAATATGCATGAGCTAATAATTCTAGCTTCAGCTGTATATCTGGTAAAATCTTTGTTCACTTAAAAAAAAAAATAGATGCAGAAACTTTCTCAAACGCTTGATTTGTGTGGAGGAAAAGAGCAGAATGAAAAGTGAAGGATGGCTGGATCTTGAGATATTTGCTGAAGTGAATATTAGGCGGTGTTCATTTGTGTGTGCTTTCTGTATCGTCTGGGGATCAGACGGTCTTCACTAACCGTGTGTTTGAGAGCGTACAGTGTTGTTTTCTCTGTCTGCAAGCTTCAATCCATTATTTCTGAGAAATGCAGTGACAGGGGAGCCGACAGCAGATGTTTCCGTTCTGCAGCGGTTTCGGGAACGGAAGTGTTTCATTGCGAACAGACGCACTCACCAGATATGAAGTTTGTTCCGGTGTCAGTCATTTCAAAAGGGCATCGCTCGTCGTTTCAAGGGCTTCTGGGTAACTGGAGTGATGCCACCTGTCGCCATGACAACAGACAGAGAGAGAGAGAAAGAGAGATATGCTTGCTTTATGATGGCGTAACCATATTCATTAGATTTAACACTGATTGAATTATCAGCATTACAAAAGAGGCAGCGGAAAGAAAGAAAAATCAGCAAAAACACCTACTAGATTATCTCTGCTGATTCGCCTACAAAGCAAAGAGATTTTATTGAAGGCAAAAAAAAAGCAGAAGGAAATGTGGCAAAAATGAAACGAAAGTCTTGTCTCAGAAAACATTACATGTAATACATTAATTTTCAATATAATACAACATTATATGAAATATAGTATAATATATATATATATATATATATATATATATATATATATATATTATACACACACACAGTTGAGAATTATTAATTCAGAATTATTAGCCCACCTGAATTATTAGACCCCCTTTTAGTTTTCTATTTTTTTTTTTTATTCTTCAAGACACTTCTATACAGCTTAAACTGACATTTAAAGGCTTAACTAGGTTAATTAGGTTAACTAGGCAGGTTAGGGTAATTAGGCAAGTTATTGTATAACAGTGGTTTGTTCTGTAGACTATCGATAAAAAAATGTAGCTTAAAGGGGCTAATAATATTGTCCCTAAAATAGCGTTTAAAAAATTAAAAACTGCTTTTATTCTAGCCGAAAAATGAAACATAAGACTTTCTCCAAAAGAAAAAATATTATCAGACATACTTTAAAAATGTCCTTGCTCTGTTAAACATCATTTAAAAAATATTTTAAAAAGAAGAAAAAAATTCGAAGGGGGCAAATAATTCTGACTTCAACTATATATATATATATATATATATATATATATATATATATATATATATATATATATATATATATATATATATATATATATATATATATATATATATATATATATATATATATATATATATATATATATATATATATATATATATATATATATATATATATATATATATATATATATATATATATATATATATATATATATATATATATATATATATATATATATATATATATATATATATATATATATATATATATATATATATATATATATATATATATATATATATATATATATATATATATATATATATATATATATATATATATATATATATATATATATATATATATATATATATATATATATATATATATATATATATATATATATATATATATATATATATATATATATATATATATATATATATATATATATATATATATATATATATATATATATATATATATATATATATATATATATATATATACATATATATATATA